TTTCTACTGTAAACCAATGGTGAATAAGATAGGAACTTCAAGTTCATATTACCCGTTTTGCTCAGTAGTGATTCACACTATTAGTGATTCAGTGTAGATTTGGAACTTTCCCTAGGAACTCGATCCCATTGTGCCAAAATAGTTGGAAGGGAACTTTTTTTTTAGCAAACATCTATGTCTCTTGCCTAATCCAAGGTAGCCACAAATCGTCAAAACAAATTCACCTAACAGAATAATTCAGTTAAAGTACACCTACCATCCTTATTGCTAAATCATTGTAATATTTATTAGTCAGCTTTCCCACTGCTGGAACAAAATATCCAGTACCCACAACCTAAAGGAAGACAGGTTTAATTCATCTCACAGTTTTGAGGGTTCAGTCCATGGTCACCTGGCTTGAACGCAGAAACAGCATAGTGAATGGACCTGGTGGAGGAAAGCTCACGTCATGGAGGCCCGGAAGCAGAGCTGGAGTGGGGTAGGGGTGAGGGGCAGGTACAACAATACACCCTTTCAGGACATGTCCCCAGTGACCCACCTCTTCTCACCAGAGTCCATGTCTTAAAAACATTGAGCTGCTGAACTCGTCACTAAATAAATCCGCTGATGTTCCCCCATGATGCAATCACCTACCAAAAGACCCACCTCTGACTACATGAAACTGTTATGGAGCATTTTAGATTTAAACCCTAACAGGATAAAAAAAATTTTTTTGTTCAGTGGAACATCTAATTTATAAATACAGAATTAGGTAATTTTAATATTGAAGGGATAAAACCCTTAATGCATGCATAGATCCCAGAAGTAGCTATACATCTTTATTGAATTTTCCTCTCAATAAAGAATGAAAACAGGGCTGGGGATTTAGCTCAGTGGCACCACATCTGCCTTGCAAGCACAAGGTCCTGAGTTCGATCCCCAGTATCAAAAAAAAGGAATGAAAACAAAGTTTCTTTTTTAATAGTCAAAATATAGTTAATTTGCATCAGTAGCTGCATTATACTTACTCTAACATCCTGGTTTTCATAATTATTTTTATCAAACAGTCTGATTTGTCATTCTTTATTAGTACCTCCTAGAGTTGCCCATTATATTGTATCTGGCACATGTGATTAGTCACATCCTTCAACATGCTTTTGTAATGTTAGATTAAGCGCAGTCTCCCCAAATCTCTCCTAGTGTAAGTCCCATTTGCAAGAGCTACCTGATGGTTGTCTGCTGAGGCTTAAATATTACTAAGGATAACTTGGTGACTAACAGAGACAACCAAGACAACATCAACCATTTTAGGATTCCTTAGTTATCATGCAACTTTTTTTGCCTGATTTGAGACAAAGGTGGGGATAGCTGGGGAAATCTTAGAGATTCAGGGTTCACCGCTGTGTACATCCCCATGTGCTTACTTTTTTCCCTTTCCCTGTAGGAGACAGAAGCATGAGCATGTGCCATGTGAAATCTAAAGCTGGGCAGAGGATGAAAGCCAGTTGCTAATTGCATTAAGTGCAATTTCAGATTACTGTAAGATTTTACTCTACCTGGATGTAGAATTGCTATGTTTTCAAGAAAGCATGCCTACAACTTTTATAAAGCATTGCCAAATGACTCTCCCAAATAGTTACACCAATTTACACTCCCACCTGTAACGTATGAGTTCCTACTTTCACACTTTCTTGGCAACATCTGGTGTTTGCAGACTTATTTTTACCAATTTCACGAGTGTAATGTAGTGTCTCCTTTTGGCTTTGTTTGCATTTCTCTACTATTGAACATCTTTTCATATGTTTATTGGTCATTTGTGCTTCCTCTTCTGTGAATTGACTGTTCATATCTTTGCCTTTAAAATCAAAACTGGTGGCAAGTTAGGAAAGCACTCTACCACTAAGCTACATATGTGTTGGCCCTTTAAAAAAAAAACACGAGGCTTTTAAATTGCCTAGGCTGACCTCATACTTGCAATCCTCCTGACCTAAGATGTCACAGTAGTCAGAATTATAGACATGTGCCACCTTTTCTAATTTTGAAGGATATTGTCCATTAGATTAAGCTTGTAGTTGATTATTCCTATCATCTAAAGTCTTATGAAATGTTTCTAAGATAGGTGTGGTGGTGCATGCCTGTAATCCCAGCACTCGGGAGACTGAGGCAGGAGGATGGCTGTGAGTTCAAGACCATTCTGGGCTACATAGTGAGTTCCAGGTTAGTCTCAACTACAGAGTGAGCCCCTGTCTCAAAATACAGAGAAACAAACAAATGTATTCTGTTTCATTTGTCAATATGTTTGTATGTTTATGGATTTATTAATTTCATCTAGTAATCCTGGGATCTTTTGTTTTACTAACATAGTTTTCAGAATTTCTATGGCTTACTGTGAATTGTTCCTTTCTTACTATTATATAATAGCTTCTTATCACTAATCTTTCTGTTTAAAGCACTAAGATTAATATAGCTGTACCAGTTCCCCCCACCCCAGTACTATGGATCGAACTGAAGACCTTGTACTTGCCAGGCAGCTGTGGTGCCACTGAGCTACATCCCCAGCCCTGTGCCAGTTTTCTTTTGATTTTTTATATGCTTCATGTAGCAGTTAAGGACGTGTTCAGATGCAAAAAGAAAATGTGACTATAGTTGCTTAAGTAAATGGGGGATTTTTTTTCTCAGTTAACAAGATTGGACATAGATATGGGTCATCTGCTCAGAAACTCCGGCTCTGTACATTTTTCTATTTACCATTCACATGTGCAGTGTTTCATCATCATGTCTGTCTGTTTTCTCTCTGTAAGACTTTGTGGAGGGAGAGGAGAAAATAATGAGAATCAACTTTCTTTTTTCCCATTAAGTTTATCGGTACATTTTAGGTATACAGTACAGTTACATTCATCATTGGGATCTTGTACCTTTACATGATGTATCTTGGTTCTTATTTTTTCCCCATCCCCTGCCCTCCCTTCACCTCCTCCACCCCTCCTTATTAACAAAGATTTTGTTTCCATTTTTTCCTTTTCTCATATTTTTTTCCTTTTCCCTTCTTTCCTTTCCCCTATTCTTCCCACTTCCCCTACTCCTTTTGCCCTTTCTTTGTATTCCACATTATCAGTTATACAATTTGGATCTTATTTACACTTTAGTTTTTCGCACCAGATAAATTATTTGATATTTACACGTGTGTGTCCTATTTATTTCACTTAAGTGTATGAAGTCAATATGCATCCATTTAGCTATAAGTAACTCTATAGTTTCTTGTCCTTAATGGCTGAGTAGTACTCCATTTTATAGAAAAACCACATCTTCTTTATCCATTCTGCAGTTGATGGGCAGTTCACCTTTATTTTTGAAATCTCATAGTTCAACTTCCTATTTGAGCATCTGTAGAGTCTGTAAGGGGGTGTACTGTTCGTACACATTTTATGGAAGCTCTTTTAAATAGATGACATCTAGAGTGAGTGAATGTGACAGTTGCCCTTAAGAAATGAAATTGCCCAAAAGAAAATGCCAGAGCAATTAAATTGTCAACTGTCAGTAAACCAATTATCATTAGTTTACTACAAAGCATAACACAATAGATTTCAAAGCACTGGTGTAAAGTAAAAATATATTAATATTTTTACAAGTTGTATATTTAGGAATATTCGCTATATATGTTCTCTGAAGAGACACCATTTTCTATAATCTTTCGGAAGACTGATTAAATTTCATTGTTTCCTATGAAATGTGTCATCACTTTATAACTTTTGCTGGAGCATTTGCAGGCTCTCAGGCCTTGTTCTCATCTAGAAAATGTGTCTTCCAACTCACCCTTTCTTTATCCCATTCTCTGACACATACATGCATCTGATTTCACTTCTCATCTTGCTCTGACCCATTAAGATAGGTCTGTGGAACCACAGGTAGCCTGCATTTGAGCCTTTGACATCTGCAAAGCAAATGACTTCATTTCTGTTTTGTACTAAAAACAGTTACCATGTGTTAGATGGGGATCCTAGAACAATATATTAGTATGCCTAATGTTTGATTTATGCTAAAGTTTAAAAAGGCCATTGCCTACATTATTTTATTTAGCCCTTCCTATTCATAGAAGAAAAATATATATAAGAAATGTATAAGAAAAAATGTATAAGTTTGGAGCTCAAACTGAAAAAGAAGGCAACTGACTGTATTCAAAGCAGGAATTCTTTCTTTAAAGAGATTGGAATAAGTGTTATACTGAGTTATGAAGTTAAGCTGTGTAAGCAGAGCCTGGTGCTAGATAAATACTTACTGAATGATTACACTCTGAGTTGGGCATTTTCTTTTAAGCGCTCAGACTGCTAATCCTATGAATGCCCTTTCCTCATCATTAATCCTTGTTTTACACAATATTGTTGAACAAAAACTTGGTGTTATGGAAAGTATATGTATGAGATTATGCATTGTGGATATGTTTTTCCTTTCAGTGAGCATGTGGTATGTAATTTTACACTGGTCTAATAAACCTTACATATCACTTGTATGTAATTTATCGTTTATGTTGAAATACTGTATACACATAAGAACTCTTGAAAATAAAAATGATTTTGGAATTCATAAGTATTAACTCTTGAAAAGAAAGGATTTTGGAATTCATAAGTATTCCTTGCCACTGTTTTTACATTTTTTTTTCCTATGTGACTTCTTTGTACTTGACTGAAATTCTTTCCTTTAGTTGAAGCCCTTTTTTCTCTACACTGACCAAAATGAGCTTGTGTCTTTCTGACAGGTTAACCTTTGCAGCCTTACATTTCAAAATTCACTTTTCCTTATTCTCCTACATGTGATCATTTTAATTTTCTTAATTTTTCTCACAGATCTTGATTTTTCAACTGAGTTAATTTTTCCTTATTCCATTCTGAGTTATGAAACTCCACCTTAAATTTCAAATCTCTTATTACTACTGTGATTATATGGTCATTTCTGTTTTAAACTTGAATTAATTAAATTGAATTTAGATTTTGTTGTGTTTTAAGTATTCTAAAATAATCTTTCAGCCACGGAAATAAAGAAGTATTTTCCTGCCGAGGAATAAAATTGGCAGTGGATTGGTTTTTGGAAAGAGGCCACAAAGATATTACAGTTTTTGTTCCTGCTTGGAGAAAAGAGCAGTCCCGGCCTGATGCTCTTATTACAGGTAAGCTCATTACAGGTAGCTGTTTGTTCCTAGTTTCATATAATACCTGTCCAGGCATCTGGCTCAGGTATTCTTAATGTTTCTTTATTTATCTGTGTGATTTCAACATTCTGTTGGTTGTAAAATTAAAGTTGTTTTTGAGTTTGGAAAGGTCTTACTATGTTAAATACACAGTAGTCTTTGCTATATAAATCAGGTTTCTTCATTTATATTACAAACATTGACTTGGAATTTTTTAAATTCTTGCTAGCCAAGAATGCTAAGAATGCTTGTAATACCAGTACCTTGGGCAGCTGAGACAGGAACACAAGTTCAAGCCCAGACTGAACAATTTAGCTATTTACCAAGACACCTGTCTCATAAAAAGTGTGAAGGCCCTGGGATCAATTCTCAAAACATTCAGTAAATAAGTAAATGAGAAAGAAAACTTATTTTCAAAGATACACTAAGAGTCAGCAGACCTAGTCTAACTTTCCCATTCACTAGCCTTAGGACTCTGGGCAATGCTGAGTATGTTTGAACCTCACTTTTCTCATAGGCTACATGAAATTAGATAGGTGGTGATGCTCTCTTATGGCTACAGGCCAACAAAGACTGTATGATCCTGGCGTATTCTGTCTCCTCAGGAAGAAGAAACTGATCAGATTCCAATAATTAGCATTGGTGTCTTGTATTAACCTATACGAGTTTCAGACAAAGATGTTCTCTGTAATTATTGTTGAACATTTTATTCAACTTTAGTGACTTATAATCAGTATCCTCTTCCTATCCTTCTCTTTACTTCCAGTATTAACAAAAACTGTGAGGAACCTGTATGAGAAAAATTCTAAAACTTTTCAAATCAAAAACAAATGAAGAGGGCTGGGATTTAGTTCAGTGGCTCCACCGCCTGCCTTGCAAAGCACAAGAACCAGAGTTTGATCCCTGGTACTAGGAAAAAAGAAAAAAATGAAGAGACTACCTACCATGTACAGAAGGGGAAGATTATTTTAAAGACTTTTACCTGCATTTATTGAATAATTAAATTAGAATAACATGAACAAGAAAATAATGATACAGTCCAGAGCCATAGCCTATGTACTAGTGCAGAGTGGAGAGCTGGGCATGGTAGCACACTCCTGTAATCCCAGCACTCGGGAGGCTGAGGCAAGAGGATCACCATGAGTTTAAGACTAGCCTGAAGAACATAGCAAGACTGTCTCACAAAGCAAAGTGGAGAGCTGGCATAATTCAACCAATAATACCAAAATGTTTGAATAATTCTTTTTAAAATATATATACTTGTTTAGATTTTTTTAAAATCATAATAACAAACATAAAGCTATTACTAGTAAAAAGTCCAGCCTCAGTAAGTAAATCAAAATCTAAACAACCATTGTTTCTCACCCATCAAAATAGCATTTAAAAAACTGTAATATTCAGAGTTCTTAGGAAGCTACTCATACACTTCTGTAAAAATATAAATTGTTTGAACCTTTCTGGAAAACTTTTGATCTTAAAATGGTAATAAAGTAGTCCTCCCTTATTCAAAGTTTCTCTTTCCACAGTTATAGTTACCCAAAGTCTATTGTGGTACAAAAATATTAAATGGAAACTTCCAGAAATAAACAGTTCATAAATTTTTAATTAAGCACTGTTCTGGGTAACATACTGAAGTCTCCTGCTGTCCTCTCCATCCTGCCCAGGCATGAATTATCCCTGTGCTCAGCTCCCCAGTACTGTAGGTGTACCCCACCCTTTTCAGATTAATGGATGTAGTGCTTGTGACCCTTACTTTACTTAATAATGGCTCCAAAGCTCAAGAGTTGTGCTGGCAATTGGACTGTGCCAAACAGAAACTGTAGAATACTTCCTTTAAGTGAAAAGGTATGAATTCTCAATAAGGAAAGAAAATAAACTGTATGCTGATGTTGATAAGAGCTATAATAAGATATTTTGAGAAAGACCATAATCAGTACATCTTTTAACAGTGTACTATTATAAGTGTTCTGTTTTATTCCTGTTAATCTTTTCTATGCCTAATTTATAAATTGAACTTTGTCATGGATATGTGAATACAGGAAAAAAACTCTTGTGTGTCAGTGTGTGTGTGTGTGTGTGTGTGTGTGTAAAGAAAGGTCCTAAGTAATAGAGAGAAGTAAAGACCTCAAAGCCACATCTCAGAGGCAATTATTGTTAACATTTTGGTATATATATTTCTGTATAGTTATTTTTGTATATATTTAAAAATAAGTTAAAATATGTAGATTATAAATTTAGACCAGTACTTTTGTTAATCTTCCATTCATTTAACAAATATTTAAGAAGCCCTGTGTTAATTTATTATCTTTATATACAGGGCTTTTTACTTTATGTATTTTTAGGCATGTTCTGGGGGATCTTGGAACATATACCCCATGAATAAGGAAGGACAATTATACTTAGATCTACTAGTCTCATTTTAGGAAGTCCCCCCAAAAGTAAGCAGAGTTTCAGGCAAATATTTATAACCAAAGATATTTGTTGTAGTATTATTTTGAAGAGAAAAAAATGAAAAAAATTATACACTCCATTTGAGTAATAGCTCAATAAGTTAACATATATCTATATAGTAGAATATATATTAGAATATTTAGGCAGAATTCTTATTGGGAAATGTTCTTTAACACAACAGTCAGAGTTTACTCTTCTGTATGTGTATATACATGCATTGACAAGTAGGAAAAAATACAGAGATGACTAGAAGGAAATGCACCAACTGTTTAATAGTATTGTCTCTGAGCTGTGGTTTTATAAGGTCTTTATTTCTCCCTGCTTCTTAGTAATTTACTTTCCTAATTTTCTACAGGGAACTTGGAATACTTTGATAATCAAGGGTGAGGTGATAAACTAAAAAGAAAAAGCAATGTTTATTTAAATGACCTTCAGTCGTATTGAACAGGACAGGAATATGAGATCAAAAAGGGAAAATGGTAATACAGTGTGAGGTGTAACTGAGTTTGATTTTAGAAGACCAGTATGCAAGGTCTCTGGAATGCATCATCACGCAGTTTACTTTGAAAAATGCCAGAACTATTATCAGAGGATTTTAAGTGTTTTCTCCCCCAAGGTAATATTTCCTTGAGTAAAACTCTCAACCAGATAACACCTGATAAATCAAACAGTCCAGTACTCTTTTAATGCACCAAGAAAAAGACTTGATTTTAAAAAGTTAGTTATAGATTCAGACTAGCACTTTTACTAATGTTCTGTTCATTTAACAATACTTAACAAGCACTAGCTGTTCTGACTTACTAGCTGTACTGAAACTATATAGGTTAGGATTATTTATTTGTGTGCCCTTTCAACTTCATTAGCTGTTCCAGAAATGTAAATTAAGCAATATGCGATGACGACTTAGGCTGCCATGCTTCTCAGGCATATCGAGATACCTTCACAGATAAGGTAGATCACCCTGGATCACCCACGAACAAAATGCAATGAATAAACCAGAGGCTTCAGAGTGCACCTCTTTGACTAGCTCAGTTATGCATTTCTTCCACAAACATTTGTTGAGCATCACTGATGTGTTCCATATGCTGTGTATTAATGGATATAAGATTAATGAGACGTGGGTCCTGTTCTCAAAATGTTTGTTCAAGGAAACACACAAAGTAATTATAATAGGACAAACTCTGTAATTGAATCTGGGATTTTGATTTTGTATTTGTTTCCAGTGGCTTTTAAATGAGATCAACAATTACATACAGCTATTAGAATTAAGTTGAAGAGCACAGTGTTTATTTAGAGCTGCCAGGCCCTATGGCAGGTGTCTGTATATGTCAGTTTATTTACTTTGATAGCCTGTTCCCTGCATTTGCAGACAGGAAGAAACAGGTTTAATATGATTTGGATTGCCAGATATGGAAAATAGTGAAACCTGAGATTTAACTGTGGGGTGCTGATTCTGTTGTCCACATTTCTTTCACTAACGCTTTGCTTTGCTTTTCTATTCATTTTGGTTTTGGTACCGAGAACTGAATTTAGGGCCTCAGGCTTGCCAAGCCAGCCCTGTATTGCTGAGCTACATGCCTGGCCTGCTTTGCTTTTTAAACCAAAGTTCTTAATGAACTCAGATGTTATAAATATCTTCAAATCCATACGCCAGTATTACTACTGACCACATCACTCTTTCGCTTCCTGTAATCCCTGATTAAATTTCTGCTATGGTACAGTTCCACCCTTGCTTACCAGCTTTACCTATTTGTCTGATGGTAAAGAAAGCTTTTGTGAAGAAGTAATTCTTAACTTTAGTTGCCATTGATACCTAGCACAGTACATATACTGAACATGTAGTAATTATGTAGAAATTGTTAGAGATGGAATTTTTTTAAACTAGCAACTGACATTTGTTACTACGTTTTTTTTAAAAGAAAGGATACAAGCCAGGGTTTTAGCTCAGTGGCTCTGCTGCCTGCCTCGTAAGCACAAGGACCCAAGTTTGATGCCCGGTACCCATAAGTAAATAAATAAAAATAGGCACATACATTAACCAATTCTGTAACAACACTACTGACTATTGCCTCCTTTTAAAGATTTGTTCCCAAGCTGGGCGTGGTAGCGCACATCTGTAATCCCAGCACTTGGGAGGCTGAGGCAGGAGGATTGCTGTGAGTTCAACCTGGGCTACATATTGAGTTCCAGGTCAGTCTCAACTACATAGTGAGACCCTGTCTCAAAAAAAATTTTTTTTGTTCCCTTTGCTACCTCTTTCTACTATATTTTTCAGATTCTCTGACCATCACATCTGTTGATTAGAAAAAATAACCCCAAAATGCACCATCATGGGAGGAAAACACCTGTCTGCTCACACCTGAACCTTACCCTACTCATTTGTTGTGAAGTCATTGTGCCAGGAATATGTACGAAGCTCTGGTGCCAGGGCTTGTGGCTCCAGCTCTTAAGCAATAGCTTAATGCAATGAGAATCAGAATTTCTTAGTCCTGTGGCAATTTTTACATTTTTCTTTTTTTTTACTACTTTTAAAGTCTTTATTATTGAAATTCCTAAAAGAAAAACATTGGGAGTTATAAATTATGCTAAATCTTTAAATTATAAATAATTACCAGCAAATGAATGACTGCATATATTCTACAGAAACTCTACAGAATGTTTTGCATATTCATACAGAAACTCACATTGCATGATTTGTCATGTATGTTGTATGTATTTTTCATTCCTGAAATTTTACCCCTATTATTCTTGCAGATCAGGAAATTTTACGCAAGTTAGAGAAGGATAAAATCCTCGTGTTCACACCATCCCGGAGAGTTCAAGGAAGGCGAGTGGTGTGCTATGATGACAGGTTCATTGTCAAGCTGGCTTTTGAGTCAGATGGTATAATTGTATCCAATGATAACTACAGGGATTTGGCAAATGAAAAACCAGAATGGAAGAAGTTCATAGATGAGCGATTATTAATGTATTCATTTGTCAATGACAAGTAAGTAAAACAGTGCAATAGAATCCTTGAAAATGCATGTGTAACTATCCCAGACAACTGCCACATGATCCTTCTTTTGGTCTGACTAGCTAGACCTAAGACAGATTTCTTCCAACACTGATTTCCCCACTAATTTTCCTGGATATCAGGAGAATTGCAGATCTCCAGTCACTGACACAACACCTGTAGCAGAAGCTTCAAAGATTCTCTGAGGAATCTTAACAGCTGACAACGGCAAGTTCCATCTTCACCCCTTCCCCAGGAAAGCCACCTTATAAACCAACTTGGAGTCCTGATAGCTTACTAAGTGCATGAGTTTTTTTTTTTTAAGTTGTTGTACCAGTGTGAGACTCTAGTCTTGATCATAGAATATAAGCTGATGAATGGACAAATAACATGAACAAGGGTGTTCATGAAAAGTGTTTATAACTATGGAGAAAAAGTTTACTTGTTGGTAGTCCAAAATGCAGTCTGAATGTAAAATGTTTACTTTTCTCATCTGTTTAATTCACAAAAGCATATTGTATATGCCTGGGAGAGAGAGGGGAGGGACAGAGGATGATAAAGGGAATTAAGATGAGTCATGTACCTATACCAACAGACACAGGGAACAAAAAGAGAGGAAGGGCATCAAGGGACAGGTGGAGGGATGGAGGGGTAAAGGAGGGAAGTGAGAGGGATGAAAAGGAAGAAGTGTCGTGTACACGTACCAACTCCTCACAAGGAGTGTGAACATTATGTACTGCATGCATACACTAATTTTTAAAAGATACATGTAAGCCGATGTACAATTTAGTAGAGGTTATCAAACTTAAAGTATGTTTATTCACTCAACCCAGTAATTTCAGTTCTTGGACAATACAATGAAAAGAAAGACCAGATACATTCATTACTATATTATTTATAGTTGTAATAATTCAAAGGCAACTACACATAATATACAGAAATCAATAATCAACTTACAAATCCTATTGAAATATTATTTAGTTCAGAATAATTATTATGAAGGCTACTAAACATGGAAAAATATTGGTATGTTAAAAAGACAGCATAAAATGATAACAAAATAAAATGTTATTAAAGTTGTGAGATTGAATGACTGTCTTCTGTTTCTCTTAATCTTGCCATATTATTTTTATAATAGCATTGTACTTGCTAAGTGTTATTAGGCTCCCCTAATATTTGACTCCCCTAAGAGTATATACATTATTCTTATTTTGTGGGTAAATACTTGGGTTTATTTCAAGTTCAAACAGTAACATAATGAGTAGTAAAATTCCTTAGTCGTACCCTTATTCATTATGCACATTATTAATGCTTTCCTCCACTGGACATTCAATCCAAAATAATAAACTTACTTCATTAAGATTTTTTTATCTCAGATTAGAATCCCATTACTGTAGTGGGAAGAGAATAGACTTCAGATACACTTGAATCTTGACTATGCTATGAGATGTTAGATAATAGTTACTTAATTCTTCTGCATCTAAGTCAGAAAAGCTTATTAACCTATAAAATGGAGCTAATACTTTGTGAGATTTTCCTCACAACAAAATGAAGCTGTGTGTGTAAAGTATCCGACACATAATGGATGTCTGGCAAGTCTCTGTCTACCTATTACATTCTACCTCTCCTTTGCCTTCCTCAGCTGTTCTGCCACTCTCCCTACCTACTCCATACTACTTCACAATATTGATGTCTATACAGAGTGCTCCTAACATTGTAATTATTATTGTAATTATTTAATTACATTGTAATAATATTGTAATTATTTCCTAAAATTCTTATAAAATCCCAAGACCGAAAGGAAAAAAATAATTAATTAGAACATGCTAGGTCAAAACTGATGGAGGGCCAGGGAATTTAGCTTAGTGATTCTGCTGTCTGCCCACAAGAGCAAGGTTCTGAGTTCAATTCCTGGTACCAAAAAAAAACTGATTTGAATTAAAACAAATTTAAGTACAACTCAAAACATTTTATTTTGCCTTCATTAAGAAGGAGTACTTTGTGTACTAATATTCCTTATCCTTTGAATCAAAACACTTGGATTAAAATTTCAAAAATGTACTTTAGAGTGAATAAATCTTTGTACTATCTTTAGAATTAGTTATTAGCCTCCTACTTAGATATCTTTTTCTTTATTATCTCTGGAACAGGTTCATGCCCCCGGATGACCCTCTTGGCAGACATGGCCCAAGCCTAGATAATTTCCTAAGGAAGAAACCTATTGTTCCTGAACACAAAAAGCAGCCTTGTCCATATGGTAACTTTTTATGGATATTTAATGTTTGCCCTTAGGATATAATATATCGTTAAACTTCTGTTAATAAAAACAAACATTTAAAATTTGGATGACATATTACATGGTTCTCTTGATTGTAATTTAAGAAAATGTTTTAGCTGTGAAAAATAAGCATTTATTTTTAATCACTTGGGCTCAATATACATGCATTTTCCCGAATTAAGATATGGTTTGAAACTCAGTAAATTCTGCCTGAAATTAGTTTTAGTGGGATCAGAATTTAGAATTCTCACAAATCAGATGAATGTGGCTTTATCACAATACAGCAGTACGGTTACTCTTCAGAAGAAAATTTTATACTGATTATAAAGTCCTGCTGAAAGAAGAGGCAGGTATGAACTAAGAGAATGGGAGTATTAGCCAGAACCTGTGGAAGTGATCATTTAACCAACTTTCTTACTGCCCTTGATGGTAAGGAAGTACAGACTGAAAAGTAACACTTCTCAAGAATGAGAAAGAGTAGTGCTTAACTCATCTCCCGCTTCTGCCTTTGTTGCTTTCATAAATTAAAATGGTAGTGCCATGCTGACTTTTCAGGATCTGATGGTATGCTCCTTTGCCTAACTAATTTTACTCTTCATAGGAAAGAAGTGTACCTATGGACACAAGTGCAAATATTATCATCCTGAAAGGGGCAGTCAGCCTCAGAGGTCAGTGGCTGATGAACTTCGTGCCATGTCTAGAAATACAGCAGCCAAAACTGCAAATGAAGGAGGACTGGTAAAAAGCAACAGTGTTCCTTGTAGCACTAAAGCTGATAGCACTTCTGATGGCAAACGAGGTGCTCCAAAGAGGCAATCAGATCCGAGCATAAGGACTCAAGTTTACCAAGACCTAGAGGAAAAGCTTCCCACCAAAAACAAATTGGAAACCAGGTCTGTACCTTCCTTAGTTAGTATACCGGCTACTTCTACTGCAAAACCCCAAAGCACTACATCTTTAAGCAATGGCCTTCCATCTGAAGTTCATTTCCCACCTCAGGATCAAAGACCACAGGGACAATATCCTCCAATGATGATGGCAACCAAAAATCATGGAACGCCAATGCCTTATGAACAGTATCCAAAATGTGACTCACCTGTTGACATTGGGTATTATTCCATGTTGAATGCATATTCGAATCTGAGTATCTCAGGCCCACGAAGTCCTGAAAGGCGTTTCTCATTAGATACAGATTATAGAATAAGTTCTGTAGCTTCTGATTGCAGCAGTGAAGGGAGCATGAGCTGTGGGAGTAGTGACTCCTACATAGGTTACAATGACCGCTCCTATGTCAGTTCTCCTGACCCACAGCTAGAAGAAAATTTGAAGTGTCAACACATGCACCCTCACAGCCGCCTTAATTCCCAGGCTTTCCTGCAGAGCTTCCACGACCCCTTGACCAGAGTGCAAAGTTATAGTCATGAAGAACCAAAGTTCCATCACAAGCCTCCTCTTCCACACTTGGCTATGCATCTGCAGCACCCCGCTGTGGGTGCCCGGTCCAGTTGTCCTGGTGAATACCCCTCTCCTCCAAGTTCAGCACACTCTAAGGCACCGCACCTAGGGCGATCCTTAATGGCCACAAGAATAGACAGCATTTCCGACTCTCGACTCTATGACAGTTCCCCTTCAAGACAAAGAAAGCCTTACTCCCGCCATGAAGGGCTGGGAAGCTGGGATAGGCCAAGTTATGGGGTGGATGCATATGGGTATCGGCAGACTTACTCTTTACCTGATAACTCTACACCACCATGTTATGAGCAGTTTACCTTCCAAAGCCTGCCTGAACAGCAGGAGCCCACCTGGCGAATACCATACTGTGGAATGCCACAAGAGCCTCCAAGGTACCAAGACAACCGAGAGAAAATTTATATCAACTTGTGCAACATCTTCCCACCTGACCTTGTGAGGATTGTCATGAAAAGGAATCCTCACATGACAGATGCCCAGCAACTCGCTGCAGCCATTTTGGTGGAGAAATCACAGCTGGGTTATTGAAAGATGATGCATCTTTGTGGTGTTTAGTAGTTTTTTTGTTCAGCTCAAATGCTGAGGGAGGTTTGCTACAATAGCATATGTGATCTCCTTCTCAGCAAGGAGGTTATATAGTATCCATTTATGTGAAATACTGTATCATGGAATCTGTATGTACAGCCCCACACGGTGGAAGTATCACGGGATTGCTTTACATTCAAACTTTTTTTTAACATTTCCTTTTTAAAGCTATATCTTTGGCTGGAAGTTTATCCAGTTTGATTTAATAGATGTATCTGTGATCTTTGATATTAATCTTTGGTGCATCAGGGGTTTATATGCAGCACTTTTTATTCTTGTTTCATGTTTTATTAACTTGATGTTTGTCTTTCAATTGCAAGCAATTACAATACCTTCAGAATGTGGAACCTTTGACCGGACCCAGCAAAATATTTTTTCATTCAAGCTTAATTAGAATCTTTTACAGCTTTTTAAGTTATTTTTGTTTGGGGAAAGTGGGCTTCTTTGTCCTATAATCCTTATTTATAGAAAAAAAATATACTACAGCACTGACTTTATATTTTAAACAAAATCTACGTTACCAATTTATGTTGAAATGGGTAACATATATGTTAGAATGATTTACAATATGGCACTTTTATTGTTTTATTTTTGTTTGGATTTTTTCCTGATAAGAAATTAGTTAATTTAATGGTCAATTTAAAAGGAAGCAGATGCAATCAATGGAAAAAAAATTGTTTCCATTTTTTTTTTTTAATGAATAAGGCAAAAGAGCTTTGTTATCCAGCTCGGATGTGCTTCTACATAAATGGAATTGAATTCCTAGATTCTCGTTAATCTGTATTTTTAATGTCTGTTTTTTGTTTGGGGGCACAACAATACTGGATAAATAACCCTTTCACAGTACTTGCCTGTTTTTAATGAATCTAATTATTCTCAATGCAATTTTATATTTAATATACTCTAGCTTTCCTGCTATTTATCAAGGCTGGCCTGAGATGGTTTTATGTGTTGAGGATATGCAACATTTATTGATACTGCACTATAGAAATAGTGATGGAGGAGTTGTAAATGGTAACTTAAAATTTTTGTAAGATATTGTATATTTTCCATTTTCCTGAAGGTAGTTTTTTGGGGGCCTGTTATATTATTAAGGCCAGACTCTTGCCACAAATAGTGTAGTTTTAGATACAGACTACTGTCTGTTCTAGTATTAGTAAGGGATATTTCTGGTTTCAAACTCTTGGGTTTTGCTTATTGCAATTACACTTCTGCAGATTATAAAATGGATTTTGCAGTTAGTGGCAGACAGTTGTGTGACTGATGTAACTTGACTATTTCTCCAGACTGAATTTTACATAGTGTAATACACACATTCAGATCTGTTTTTGTAGTCTGCTTGGATGTTCTAGTCATTTGGGTTATTCTGCATGCTACAGTTTGAAGTAAAGCCCTGAAAAACCAGAAAGTACCTTTTACTGTTGATACAAATTGTATCTTTTTAACTATAAGAACTATTTTGATTTGTAGATCTAGTTAAAAACACAAATGTGTAACTACGATTAGACTTTTGGGCAACATTTTATCCCTTATTTAAATACAAATTTTTAAAATAAAATTGAAGTCTATTATTAATAGAGTAGAAAATAAAAGTAACAATTTAGGTAAATAAAAAGTGTCTGTCTTAGTTTTATATAATATATTAAAACATTAAATTTATTGGCATTTTCTTTCTTCTAAAACTTATCTAGTGTGAACTTTACTAAAATAAAGGTAAAATGCTGCCTGAAAAATAATGTCCAAGCATCTTTGACGAGGATAACATTTCCACTACTTGTGTGACACTGTGTGTTGCATGAAGTAGGATTTGGGTATACAGTAAATGCTTCTAAAAGGCATTGTGCATATTGACATATCCAATAATCTGAACCATGTTCAGCAAACTTAATTCAGGAAAGTGGTGTTCTACACAATTAATGCTGTTGTGCTTGAAGTAAGCGTGGCCCGCATCTGCACCCAAAGATAATGCGGGTGATGCCACACAAACCATTTTGAATGGTGTCTGTCCAAGAGTGACCCTACTCACTTGTGAAATTGTTCTTGATTTTTGTCATGCATTATCTATAGAAAAAGTTTAAATGCACAGGCAAAATGAGTGCCAAAAATAGGGTTACCAACCTGTATTACCTTTAATTTTAGTCATATTTTACGATTGTTATACTATGAAATCACTTCTAAATCATACGTGTAGGTTTTGCTTTTTTTATGTTAACATTTTAATTATTTGAAGATTGCTAAACTTTACTAAATGGTTTCAAATAAGATCTTACATTAAATGAATATGACTTTAAATTTGACTTATTATTTTTAGTTGGTTGTTTATTATTATTTTTTGGAAAATAACATAACCTGCCATCATGTGTACTGAAGTGAGTATCTCTGAACCTCTCACAACAAAATTGTTCCATGTAATTAGTTGTACATTAAGAAATAGCAGTTTTCTTATGTCAAGAGGACAATTTGTCCTCCACCCTTTTTTTTCTAAAGTACCAACATTATTTTCAGAGCTTAAGAATGAGATGATAGGCTGACTTTAGGTACAGCAAATTCTTGTTATCTAAAGCAATAAGTAAGAGGAGTCCATTATAAATTAAATCCATAGCTGGCTGCAAACCCTTTATTTGAGCCACAACTTTCTTCCTAGTCCCTAATCCCTATTTACCAGACCTGCTAATACATAACCCGAAAGAGATATGTTAATAAGTAACGAAGTTGCCAAAAATGGTCAGCTGATAGAAAGATGATTCAGACTGGAATATTCTGCCCCTGAATAATCGACAGTTGACTATACTTTAAAGTAATTAGACAGTCTGTTGTCTCTATATCTTGGTCCATTGGGAGTAGCACTCAACTGGCCAAATACTGGCCCTTATTTTTGCATGTGATGCAGATATTTTCAGCCTCATTTTTATGATCTCTATCCTGATAGAGTTTGTCAGTGACCTACTAATTATATAAATGTTCCCCAGTATAAAATATTTGATTCTGGTGGAAACTTGAATTTTGTGTTTTTATGAAAATGCATTTATTAGAATACATAATATAACTAAAAAAGTGTTTATATATGCATACATATTTGTTATGAAGTATTAAAAATGGAGGGATGTTTCTTCTGATGGATAACATTTCCCTGATCATATTGTTTCTTTGAGTTGTGGATGACCAAGTCAGGGTCTGGATGACCAATGAAAAGATTTAGAACCACTTTAATGGAAAGTAATTCTTCACTGGGTTTTTTCCCTTGTATTTTAAAAAAAATTATTTTGATAATTTTAATAGTAATTGTAATAGTGTAATTTAAAAATACACACAAAAACTTTAAAGTAGTATTCCTTATAGAAATAATTATTTAACATGTGTTTAATGGATGTATCTGTATGTAAATAGTAATATATTTATAAAACAAATATACTTCACATTGTAGTTCTTAGTTTGTGATACACGGGAGGATGACTGTGGGTGGGTGTGACTGTATATGTATGTGTGTTTATGTTTCGGAAACTCTCAAGCTATTTCCCCGATTTAATGTATTTACTCTAACTTATATTTGGTTTTGTTATTCTTTCTGCTCTCCAGTTTCCTTACTCAAGACAAAGTAAGATAAATGGTTTTCTGGCCATTCTGTTTCTGTGTGGCTAATCCCATTTTATTATTCTCGTAATTCCTGGAGAATTCCTGATTGACCTACAATCAAACAGGTTATGGCTAGAAATAATGCTTATGTTCCAAGTATATTGAAGAGGAAAACTCGGCTGTGATGTTAAGTTTCAAAAATATATACCAAGGAATAAAATGACGTATAAAAAAGGTTGGAGTACACACATAGACTAAGAAGAAGCAAAGTGTTAACAAAAAGTGAAGCAGCATAAATTATTTTATATTGGTCTAGGAAAACCTCCTAGAGTAAGTGTTGACAAACTTTCTGTAAAGGATCAGATAGTAATTAGCTTTTCAGAATCAAATGATCTCTTAAAAACTGCTCACTCTTGTTTTTGTAACATAAAAGTACCACAGACAATATGTAAATGAGTGTGACCTATGTTCTAGTATAACTTCGCAGAAAAGGCTAGGTTGGTGCACGTGGCAGGAGATCACAAGTTCATTCCCACCTGGGGAACTTATCAAAACCCTGTCTTAGAATTCAAAAAGAGGATGTAGCTCTGTGTGATGGTCCTGGATTTAATCCCCAATAGGGGAAATTGGGGGCAGCACTTTATTTACAGAAACAAGCAGCACACCATACTTGGCCTATGGACCATTCCTAATCTCTGCCCCAGAGGAGAAAAACAAGCATATTAAACAATAAATTCTGGTACTGCATATGTGAATGTAAGAAATAATTGTATTCAATAATTGACATTCAAAGAAAATCTGATATTATTGATATTCTTCAAAAGATAATTTTGAGACACTCATATGATGCTCTTGTAAATTTTAAAGCTGGCCATGCCTATTATTTGAGATATTTCTTGTATTTAATCAGCCAAAAAATCTGTAGAAAAGATGCTTTTAAAGTACTGAAATTTTTTCATAAATTTCACGTTTCTGTTGATAAATGAGAATCCATCTTTTACTGATGGATTGACTGCTGAGGTTTTTTCAGTGGTCTCATGGACCAGAAATTCTGTTGTGTTTTGAAAGTTAACATTAACTAGCCACAAAATGTTTTTAAAGATTTGTTTATCAATTACTTTTTTCTGTTGTCTTGGGCTCCTAATGACATATCTACCCTTTTGAAGAAAATAAACATACTGTAATTTCACACCTTTTAGCTTCGTATGTAAAGTTAAGAATTGTGACAGATTATTGCTTTAATGTGAGTGTATTTGTTACATTGTGATTCTTTATAAGAAACAAAGTGTATCGCTGCTTTCCCTATCCAAGTGCTTTACACAGACTTTTGTAGACATCTTAGCACTGTCCATGGTGAGTGATACTCTTAATAAGATTATGTATAATTCTGAATTCACTAGAAGTACACACTGTTGACCATGTTCATTCGCTATGCTTCGTGCATGGTGTTACATTACAAAGTAGTTATACTTTCTTTTAAAATTGGAATACACCTGTAGCTTTTAGCAGTTTATTGTTTTAAGTGGCTACTTTATTTCTTTAATGTTTTCTGTAAACTTGTTTATTCCTCCTGTTATAATATTCTTATTATTAGAAGTGGCTTTTCCCTAAGAGCCTTAGTCTTTTAGATTTAAAACAAAGTTTTGACCATTTGGTTGTAGAAAATGTCTATGCATGTTTTTATTTAGTTTTGTAAAATTGCGTGAAGTTTTACTTCTTAAAATATATACTAAATCTTCTGTCTCAAGTATTTCATATGAAAAACAAAAATGTTGACCATTAAAGTGCTTTTGTCACCTTTCTTTCTAAAATGGCTTCTATCTCAAAGGAAAAAGACATTGAAGAGCAATGGTTTATATTTATAAAGACTATGTTTTAGATTCCCCTCGGGTTGTTTTGTTTTGTTTTGGTTTGGTTTTGTACCAGGGATTGAACTTGGTTCTTTGCTCTTAGGAGGCAGGTGGCAGAACCACTGAGCTAAATCCCCAGGCCTCCCTTCAGTTTTTTTAATTATAAATTTTCTACATATGTAAAATATTGACAAACATGCAGATTTGTGCAGAGAGGGTATTTCAGTGCAAGTGTACCAGGTTACTGGTTTTATCTTTTATTTTATCTGAAAGCATAGCTATATGCTGATAGTATTCCTATTTGATTCTGACAGTTTTTGCTTACAGGAAAAGTAAAGCACAGAATATGTTTAGAGCAATTATTGAATAAACTAATGTGATTCTATTTATCTATGTGTTTCTGTAACAATTTTTACAATTCCAAAAACAATATTTTAGATTTACTAGATATCAGTATCGAAATAACTGGATGATTCTGCCAGTGAGGTAGAAAAGGTGAAGATACTCATGTTTTTCATGGCGATTTGTTTTTGTTTCATAAATTGATTTCATCTGACAGCATGGATGCTAAATAAATGAAATCATTATCTTTAGTTCCACAGCTTGCTTGCATTCAGTAGTTCAAAACATCATGAACGGTCTATAGGGTAAGCATGTGTTCAATATCAATGTAAATATTGAAGCCAAAATTAATTCCTGTGAAAACAAATTAAATGTCAGAGGCAACTAGCCAATTTATGGTGAGAGTGTTTTCTTTATAATCTGCTACTAAAGTGTTTTGTTTCTGGTAATTTTGAAGTGTCATCAGGTATCTGACTAAGAAAGTGATTGTTAATAGACACCCTCAGCCAGTGAGTTTATAAGAAATGATGGATGACTTTGGTGTCCTTTTTCATATTAGGAAGACTGGCAAGAGATCAGAAAGTACTACAAAGATTTCTGGTACTGAGGTATGTGCTTGGATTGTACACCAGCTTTGAACAGTAACATGAAGGCTCAATAAACACCAAGGCTCAGTAGACCAGGGCAACTCCATTCAAGGAGTTCACGATCTTGTAGTCAGGTTGGAATCTACAGGATAATACAGTCAACATATGTGTTTTGTTTTTAATAGAA